GTATGTGTGTGTGTGTGTGTATGTGTGTGTATAGGATTATAAAAGCTACATATAGGCTTTATATATAGTACTATAAAGGCTATATATATATATATATATATATATATATATATATATATATATATATATATATATATATATATATTCCGGGTGTGTACAGCTATTAGTTGGCCTTGAGACAAGCTATACTATAACGGTAATCCCAATGGAGCTGATCTTCAATGTGACCGGCAAGATGCCGGTATCCAAGAACGGATCCGACAAGTCTGTGGCCGACGGAATCAGCGATGACGTCATGGATCTTTTGAACTTGACCCTTGCCGTCGTGTGCGTCGACGGACTGTTGAGCTTTTTCGGAATGCTGACCAACATGATCAACATTTGTGTGTTTGCTAAACAGGTAGGTGCTTCCATGTCTTGGGCAAATTTTTTTTTAAATAAAAAGGTTTTAAAATAAACCGGGAGTGATCTCCCCTAAACTTTCTCGAATATTCTTATATGAAACAATAGGGGATGGCAACTCGGGATATAGATATAATTTTAATCAATTTTAAATACTTAAACTTTTTAAAAGAGAAACATCTCGTAGAAAAAAAGAATTGCACACCGTGTGAACGCCAAATAAAATGTGCATAATAGTGCGGAATATTATTAGTACTTTATAAATTCACATGCGTTTTTTTTTTTGAGAAATCGGAAATAGCGAAAATTACTACTTCCAGTCATTCCAGAAATTACTCAAAATTTGACAGAAGGTAGAGAATTAGATCTTTTACTTACATGTGAAATTTCATTTATCTATCTGAAATAGTACTCAAGTTATAGGCATTTGAAAAATTGAAAGTAGAAAAAGTTCCACTTCCGGTTATCGGAAATCGCTCAAAAGTCAATACGGATCTACGATATTGATTTAATACTTATATATGAAATTTCATCAACCTGGCTGTAACAGTAGCCAAGTTATCGTGTTTACAGACACACACACACACACATACACACACACACTGACATACGGACAAGATTGCAAAACTATATTTTTCCGACTCAGGGAGCTGTAAAACGTCGAGATTTGAAAAAATCTCGATTTTTTTTTTTTGCACGATTACAAGACTTTTTCTATACTTCGTATATACGAGAAAGTAAAAATTAGTGATTAGGGGGCTAATGGGGGGTCATCCATAAATGACGTCACGCTTTTTAAAACGATTTTTACCTCCCCTTCCCCTCCGTCACCTGTCGTCAAAAAAAGCCAGACCCCCCCCCCCCCTAACATGACGTCACACCTCAGCCTACAACCCCACTCAAAATTGCAGTTGAATTTTTTTTTAAACAACGATATTTTTCTAAAATCTTGTCTGAACTCTGTCAAAATAGAGTATTTTAATCAATTCCTATTACAATTAATTAAAACAGTTTTCTAAAACGCGAAGTAATGTCTAAAATTCGTTTTCTAACATTGCCTTTTTATAATGCAAAAGTGTGACGTCGCTACATCTGAACACCCCCTCCTCCCCATCATCACACACCGTCAAAAAATTACGGACCCCCCCCCCCCCCCCCCTCTACAAGTGTGACGTCATTTATGGACATTTGTAGTATATTACTACAATATTTGAAGATACAGTGACAGACACAGGCTAACTGCTACGGAGGCCTATGTGTAACTTATATTTTCTTTTTCTAAGGTTCCATATTAATTCTAAGCCAAAAACAGTTCAAAAATATTTTAGCAGAATATTTTAAAAAATATAACGCTAACAGTTAATACATGAATTTAGTTTGCAATTTAAACGTTCGGATACCTATGTGTACCATCTGTTAGTTGCCCTTATAATAGCGATTATTAATTAAAAAAAAAACGTAACGGCATAACAAAATAATTTATCCGCTTTTCTTTTGGACCACTTTCATCTTCAGGGAACAGCCCAGTTTCACTTGGTGGAGAATAAACATTTATTTGTAGCTGTGGTTTTTTTTTTTTTAAATCCTCCTCCTTGAAGTTAGTGAATGCAAAATGTGCAACGCCAAGAAAATGAATTACAAGAGAAAGAAATTAATTCGGTTTTAAACTAGAATCTAGTTACAAGGAGTTAGTCTTAAGACTTTCATTGACTCATGCCGTTTAGGATTCTTTCAACGTTGTATAAAGTAGCTCCACCCCTCCGTCTAAAGTGTTTTATTTTGCTAATTGATTACGGACTTATTCAATTGTTTTCTACATCAATTGTGTGACACCAAAATAAAAAGGCAAACGTGACTGGTAAAAAGCGCCCCGACCTTTTCAGACTTTTCAAACTAAACCTTAAATAAACAAGTTAAATATAGTTTTAACGACCGCTTGATTTTTTAGCGCAATTTCCATACTGACAATTGCGATTAATAATTCGTTCTGGATGGATGTGTGTCCGCAGCTTTAAGTCGTATCTCCTCCTCAACGAAGCAATATCGAGGACTAGTTCCAAAGCAAATATGTTAATCAAGTTCCGTGGATGATTGTGGGCCAAAAAAATTCCCGGAATTCCTTCCTGGATTTTCCGGAAAAGCCAAAAAACCTTAAAAAAATGCAATTTTTGGCCCATATCTCGGCAACCAGACCACTTAGCGACTTGAAACATTTACCAATCGATTCCTGCCATAATTTAAAACAATATTGCAGAACAAAGTTTTCAAAAATATCCTTTCGTTCGATCACAAAAAATTAATTAAGGAAATTGCGCTTAAATTGTCACTAGACTTTTTATTAACTTGTTTTACAAAACCGCGGGCAAAGCAATTTTCGTTTTGTTTCTGCAAATGTCAAACTATGTTAACAAAAGAGATTCAGCCATTAGGATATATGGATTAGGCAAACTTTAACAGTATTTTTTTTTGGCCTAAGTGATTGATATCGATTTTGGTCGAACTTTAAAATTGTAGTTTACAGATCTAATTGCTGGATGACATTTAAAAAACCGCCCGATAGTCATTAGAACAAGGTCATTTCAATTGTGCAGAATTAGCCCGTCTTGTGCAAAGTTACCCCAGGGTGTGACAAGTTACCTATGTTGTTCAAGGTTAACCCTGAAAAATTACCCCTATGGTGCAGTATTGTGCAAAGTTACCCCAGGGTGTGACAAGTTACCCCAGGGTGTGACAAGTTACCCCAGGGTGTGACAAGTTACACCAGGGTGTGACAAGTTACCCCAGGGTGTGACAAGTTACCCCAGGGTGTGACAAGTTACCCCAGGGCGTGACAAGTTACCCCAGGGTGTGACAAGTTACACCAGGGTGTGGCAAGTTACCCCAGGGTGTGACAAGTTACCCCAGGGTGTGACAAGTTACCCCAGGGTGTGACAAGTTACCCATGTTGTTCAAGGTTAACCATTGCAAAAAATAACCCTATAGTGCAGTTACCCCAGGGTGTGACACGTTACCCTATTTGTGCTACATTACGTCTGTTGCACCGTTACCTTGGCTTGTACAATACTTACTGGGTTCATGCAGGTTACTACGAGGCTCGCAAACTTGACGATGAATAGGCCTAATATAGACGTGCATAATAAAATGTTGACGCCTTACAATATATTTTGACACTATACCGTAACATGTTGACAGTGTATTATATAAAGTTAACGATGTATAATGTTGACGGTATACCGTATAATGTTGACGATGTATAATGTTGACGCTACACTCACTATCCTGTACACTAACCATATCGGCACCAGCTACAGGCTTGCAAGGAGACGGTCAACATAAGTCTACTGGCTCTGTGTCTCGCCGATCTGGGATGCAACTTGACTCTACTCTGGCAGAGTATTTGCCTCTCACCAGCGGTCCAGCATTCGGGGATTTCCTTTAATCCACTGGATTTAAGATACCTAACCGGGGGTAATTACCTAACAACTGTATTCCCACAATTTAACCAGCATTCTAACTCAAATTAAGTTTTTAAAAAATGATCATATATGTTATCAAGACTGACAAAATTTACGGAACCATACATTCCTGAACCTTAACTCCCCCCCCCCCCCCCCCCAAAGGTTTCGTCCTCTTTTATGGACGATTCCTTGAACTTGAAAACTTAGAAAAAGAAATTTAAAAACAAAATCTTATTTTCATAATTTGTTTAACGAAACTAATTACCATATATAATTAACTTATTAAACAATTATCTTCTCGACATTTAATTAACCCGTTGATTTTTATTGTAACCCCCCCCCCCCCCCCCCCCTTTCCTCCTCTCCCCAGCCCTACCCCGTGCGATGTTCACTCGAGTCTCCTCCTGGATTCACGTGTACATCACCTTCGAGCGCTGCCTGTGTATCGCGATACCACTGAAGATCAAATCTATGGTGACGCCGGCTGTGTCTGTGACCTCCATGGCGCTCATCTACCTGCTCCTGATGCTGACCATCCTACCCATGTACCTGTCCGCCCACATCGAGTGGACAACCAACCCAGCCACCAACACCTCCCGTTACACCCGGGTCTACAACGCCGATGGACATTACTTAGAGAGCATAGGCCTGTCGCTCTCGTTCGCGGTTATAATTTCATCCTACTTCCTCGAAGTCATCTGCACTTTAATTATCATCCGACAGCTACGAGAGAAAAGAAAATGGCGAAATGAAACATCTGGAGTTGTCGTTCCTGGATCCGAAAATAGAATCTCGACAAGGGACAGAAAAGTGATCAAAATGGTCATGGTTGTGTCGAGTCTGTTCATCGTCTGCTCCTTCCCGGGGTGTGTCCACTACATTGTTGGGATCGTTGGCAGTGAGCACTACAATCCCGTGGTCAGCCCTAATTTGTTTTTCTTGGTTTCCTCAGCCGTGGAGACGTGTGAGCAAATCACCTACGCCACCAATATTTTTATTTTCTACCAAATGAGCTCGAGGTACAAGTTGGTTTTCTCTCAATTTTTCACAAAAGCAATTTCGCATGGTGTTTTTGTTCAGGGGTCATCCGCCGTTATTGAATAAAAAACTATGCTGCAGATTGTATCAGTTTTTTTTGGTGTGTGTGTGTGTGTGTGTGTGTGTAAAAAATACGAATCAGAGGCGTATCGAGGGCGGGGCGGGGGGTGCGGACCGCACCGGGTGACACCATTTAGGGGAGTGACACCAAGGCGAAAAATTGCAAAAAGTACAGAACAAAAATGCTTTTTTTTTGTCAGATCCATTAGTGATTAATTAAAGTTAAATAGTCTTTTTAAGTACAAATTAACACTTATTGCAAAATGGCAGGGTATTATAGGCCTATGTAGACCGACGCACACACACACACACACACACACACATATATATATATATATATATATATATATATATATATATATATATATATATATATATATATATATATATACTTATTTCTTGGGGGGGGGGGGGGGTGACACCACGAAATGCCGCACCGGGGCACACCCGATTAAGCGACGATACTGATACTAATGATATTTAAAACTTAAAACATGATTTAGCCCATATTTTAATGCTTTAAAAAAATTAATAAGTAGCAGTGTAAACAAACAAGCGCATGTTTGAATGCTGTCGTGTAAAAATAAAATGACCCGCAACACCACGCCCACTGCCTCAAGCAATTGGTGCTGTAAGGGTGGTGCACACGGTCACGTGATGCTGGCAGAAAATGGCTGGGATATGGTTGTTTAAGGCCGCGGGCGGAGTGGACGTACCCTGGGGGTGGAAGTTTCGCCCAGAAGGGGGGGGGGGGAGTGGACGTATCCTTGGGGTGACAGTTTCGCCCAGATAGGGGGGGGGGTGGATGTACGCAGGGGTGGAAGTTTCGTCCAAAAAAAGGGGGGGGGGGGTGGGCGTATGCAGGTGGTGGAAGTTTCGCCCAGAAAGGGGCGGGGGTGGTGGTGGACGTACCATGGGGGGGGGGGGCGTGACCATCCGCAGAGCTGCCTGAAAGAAACACCATGAGTGTGTTAGGGAAGGGGGAGGTGTGGGGTGAGTACCAACACAGCTTTATGTTAAAGTTTAAAAAAAATCTCACCAGAAAAAAAATGCCAATAACAAAAGCAAATATATTTCTTCTATCTGCACGTATGGATAAAAGCCGGCCTATGGCCTTGGCCGCTGTCAACATGCGGTGGTCACGGGGTCAGGGTGTGTCTATATGTCAACATGCTGTCACGTGATAAAGATCGAATTGTATTAATTGGTTAGATGTGCATCGACAGCAGAGTTTCTTCCAGGCATCTCTTCGGGGGGGGGGGGGGGAGGCTGAGCCCCCGAACGAAAGTCTACCGCCCCCACCCCCGAACGAAATGGAATTTATATATAGAAAATATTTTTAACAGTGTCCACCCCCCCCCCCCCCCCCGGAAATTTCAAATGCTCCCCCCCCCCCCTCCGGAGAAAAAAAGTCTGGAAGAAACGCTGATTGACAGAGGTTGCCAGTGAGGTTATAACCACTACCACCCCCCCCCCCTTTTCCATAGTCAGCACATTGCTCAGCACAGCCGCTTTTGTTCCCAATCAGGGTTGAGTGAACTCAGAGAAGTCCGACAGACTCGAGCCCGGGATTCGAACTTCACACTTGAACCTAAACCGCCGCCAAACTGTATTTTTGTGCGTTAAATATCAACATATTAATATTAATTTAATTAAATATCAATGGTTCAAAATTAGGTATAGTAATTACTTTGTATTGAAATTTGCTAAAAGTATAATCAAAAGTGCAAAATACCGGCAACACTTAATTTTTTATTTTTATAGGCCTACCCCGTCATACATTGTCAACAAAGTTAGATTCCCCCCCCCCCCCCCCCCCGATAAACCCCTTGAGTGTGGAGTCATTTTCCTAAAGCTAACATTTTAAAAACATCAGTATATCACCTCAATGGTTTTCAAAGCGGAAAGAAGTGTCGTTTAACTTGTTACGTGTGCTAACAAAAGCATCCTAATATTTTATTCATGGCATTCGCTGGCAGAAAACACACGAACGCGCCTGGCGTTATTTTATTCGAAGCCACATCACAGGTAGCCGCCAAGCTGATTATCACGTGACTATCTCCTTGGAGCTACTACATGCAAGTGTCTGTTGAAAAATGGCGGAAAGTTAATTACTGCGAACGATCAAGCGTACGCTTGTCATACAATTTTAATGAAAATGGTTACACATTCGCCATATAAACTTGATTTAGATCCACAGAAGCGAAATGTCTTTGTTACACAACTGCACGAACGGTAAGCAATGTTTGTTTAACGCGCAGCTTAAAAATAAGATTAAAAATAATTCAAAATATTTGTAGTTTGTTGTAGGCTCTATTTGAAAATATTAACACATCCTAGATCCAGTACTATTGTCGAGGGCTTCTCGCGTTAATGGTAGACGTGTGATGTTTGCTAAAAATTGAACACAAACGAGACTTAGAATCTAGGTTTTTAACTGCCCCTTAAATCTAAATGTGTGCATTCAATTATAAGTAAAGTAAAATGAAGTTCCATTAATCATTAAAGGCTTTTCTGTTTTCAAACATGGCAGTTTATGGGGGTCATCCATAAATGACGTCACACTCGTAGGGGGGAGGGGGGTCCGTAATTTTGTGACGATGTGTGATGAGGGGGAGGGGGGGGTCAGATGTTGCGACGTCACATTTTTGCATTATAAAAAAGCATTGTTAGAAAACGAATTTTAGACGTTATTTCGCGTTTTAGATAACTGTTTTAATAAATTGTAATAGTTTAGACAAGATTTTGGAAAAATATCGATGTTTTAAAAAAATTCAACTGCAATTTTGAGGGGGGGGGTTGTAGGTTGAAGTGTGACGTCATTTTAGGGGGGGGGTCTGGCTTTTTGTGACGACGTGTGACGGAGGGGAGGGGGGGAGGTAAAAATCGTCAAAAAAAAAGTGACGTCATTTATGGATGACCCCATGGGACAAGTGAAGTAGAGTTCACCTGTTTCTGTAACCTTGGTATACGAAGGGAAAGTGTGGTTAAAAATAAATTATTAACCTGATGGATGCCCCTGATGGTCATATTTTATTTTTATAATTACATCTAGAGGGCAAACTTATACTTAATATTTTTTCTCTCTCTATGGCCCCATGTTGACAGCATATAAACTATAAAGCCACCTGAATAAATTGTGTATCTAGTGTGGCTACAACATCAAGATGACCAAAGCTTCCTTCCCTTATTTTAATAACGATTAATTGATTTAAATGATGATTTGTTTATCAGTGATGATGAAGAAGATGTCACCGTCTTCCCTGTCGTCAAAGAATCTGGAGACAAACTCATTGAGTCTGGCCTCAATACACTCCAGAAGACACTGCTACTCAAAAAAGAGGTTGAAATAGAGAAAGTAAATACTCAGTTGGAAGCCAAACGCTATGAATTCAAACAGCGGATGGAATTGTGCACCCAAAGGCAGGTGGAGCTACAGAAGAAACAACAAGAGGTTGGGGTCTTATAATGTAGCATAAAAATGTGTCTAATTACTTTATAAAACAGAAGGCTATATTTAAAGTAAATTTCCCTTTCTAACCTGACAGTGAATGGGGCAAGTGAAGTAGACTTCACCAGTTTCTGTGGCATCAGCATATGAAGGGATAGTGTGGTCAGCACTATGCCCAGCCGCCCTTACTTTCCCTAACTTGAGTTGGGTACCCATCAGAGCTGGTTGGATTCTGGGACATTCTACTGACTTGAACACGGATTCAAACTCGAGACTTTCCAATGAGCAGTCTAGCTCTCTACCACTAGGCCACACTGTCTCATAATGTTTAAATTTTAAGTTTGTTGAATTTTGAGAAATTATTTTGGCCCTGTAATAAAAAGATTTAGGCCTATTCTTATTAGTAATATTTTTTTATATATATATCTGATCATGATAGTTTTATACAAACAGATGAAAGACAGGGTGACAAAATTTGAAAAATTCATCCAAGAAAATGAGGCGAAGAGAAGACGAGCAATACAAAAATATCAACAGGAAGTGAGATTAAAAGAACAAAAGTCTATTGAGTTTTCATCTTTATCAGACCAGTTACAGCATTTCAAAAATAGGTACTTTATTCTTATGGTTTGATTTATAATGTTCACCTATAGGAGATATATTAAAGAAAAAGACAATGTACTAAATCTCTAATTTTACTATTTAGATTTTAAAAACTTGATATACAACAGTCAATTTCAATTTTCTCATTTAGTGGATAAAAGTTTTTTAAAACTTCATATTTATTTTTAACCTTTGAGTTTGAGAATGTAAGTTGGATAATGTTAAGTTTCATATCTGTGATGCTTTAAATCATTGTAATACTGAATTTTATTTAGCTGATAAATTAACACAAGTCATTTGTCACACAGGCATGCATTACTATCAGCCAAACTAAAGGCTTACACTATATATGAGGAATATCTGAGAAATGTTATTGAGGCCATACCTGAAGGTAAAATACTTTGTTAATGTTATTATAGAAGCAAGATTTAGTTTGTTTTGTAGCTTCCAATTTTTAAATCACCCAACAACATTTTATTAATTCCACTTTGTTCACGTACAAGGCATAAGGAATTCGATTTTTTTATAGGAACAGTGTTTAATTAATTCCACTTGTTTAATTAATTCCAATTCCTACAGGAACAATGTTTAATTAATTCCAAAACACCATGTTAATTGAAAATTGTAAATTTTTAATTATTAATTTAAATCATATTAAGATTTTGTTCTTGTATCTTTTCTATTCACTAAATAAGGTTTACTTTAATATATGATACACAAATATGACTAGAGAATAAGGAATGCTAGTACAATATAAATAGAAGAAGATTGGGTCTGTAAATTGTGTCTGGGAGATCTTGATGTCAAAGATGGTAGATGCATGCTCAGATGAGGGTTAAAAATAAAAAAAATTAGATTATACTTTGCTAAAGTTTTTATTTTTTTGTTATATTATAATTTAGAAATAAATCTCGAGATTTACATTTCTTTAAATCTTAGATTACCTGCCAGCAACAGAAGACAAAGTCAAAGGATTAATGATGAGGCATAGAACTTTAAGTGAATCTAACAAAGGGCTGGTTGATAATCTAGAGGCCATGACAGATGAGGTACGTGCCTGGGTTATGATCTCCAGTAGTCTGGCTACAGACTCTAGTGACTTGACAGTTTGGCTCACAATTTGACCAGAGACTGGTGATAGAAGGTTATGATCTCCAGTAGTCTGGCTACACACTTTAGTGACTTGACAGTTTGGCTCACAATTTGACCAGAGACTGGTGATAGAAGGTTATAATCTCCAGTAGTCTGGCTACACACTTTAGTGACTTGACAGTTTGGCTCACAATTTGACCAGAGACTGGTGATAGAAGGTTATAATCTCCAGTAGTCTGGCTACATACTTCAGTGACAGTTTGGCTCACTATTTGACCAGAGACTGGTGATAGAAGGTTATAATCTCCAGTAGTCTGGCTACACACTTTAGTGACAGTTTGGCTCACAATTTGACCAGAGACTGGTGATAGAAGGTTATAATCTCCAGTAGTCTGGCTACATACTTCAGTGACTTGACAGTTAGGCTCACAATTTGACCAGAGACTGGTGATAGAAGGTTATGATCTCCAGTAGTCTGGCTACACACTTCAGTGACAGTTTGGCTCACAATTTGACCAGAGACTGGTGATAGAAGGTTATAATCTCCAGTAGTCTGGCTACATACTTCAGTGACTTGACAGTTAGGCTCACAATTTGACCAGAGACTGGTGATAGAAGGTTATAATCTCCAGTAGTCTGGCTACACACTTTAGTGACAGTTTGGCTCACAATTTGACCAGAGACTGGTGATAGAAGGTTATAATCTCCAGTAGTCTGGCTACACACTTTAGTGACAGTTTGGCTCACAATTTGACCAGAGACTGGTGATAGAAGGTTATAATCTCCAGTAGTCTGGCTACACACTTTAGTGACAGTTTGGCTCACAATTTGACCAGAGACTGGTGATAGAAGGTTATAATCTCCAGTAGTCTGGCTACACACTTCAGTGACTTGACAGTTTGGCTCACAATTTGACCAGAGACTGGTGATAGAAGGTTATAATCTCCAGTAGTCTGGCTACACACTTTAGTGACTTGACAGTTTGGCTCACAATTTGACCAGAGACTGGTGATAGAAGGTTATAATCTCCAGTAGTCTGGCTACACGGCTACACACTTTAGTGACTTGACAGTTTGGCTCACAATTTGACCAGAGACTGGTGATAGAAGGTTATGATCTCCAGTAGTCTGGCTACACACTTTAGTGACTTGACAGTTTGGCTCACAATTTGACCAGAGACTGGTGATAGAAGGTTATAATCTCCAGTAGTCTGGCTACACACTTTAGTGACTTGACAGTTTGGCTCACAATTTGACCAGAGACTGGTGATAGAAGGTTATGATCTCCAGTAGTCTGGCTACACACTTCAGTGACAGTTTGGCTCACTATTTGACCATAGACTGGTGATTGGCGCAAATAGTGATAGAAGAGATTGATAGCGTTAGACAAAAATAAAGTGTTTACGATAATTTTAAGTGTTTATTTTGAAAAACAATTACAGCAGCTATAAAGTATATCTTGCCCTTGCATGTCTTTTGCTATGTAATAATGAAGTCTTAAGTATACAAAACTGTTGATGTTAAAGCCAGTTTATTTTAATAAAAAACAATGGTTACCCTTTTGTACCTGTTTGTTGGTTCATAAAGTCTCTTATTTCTGTGACCATCACACATAAAGGGATAATATTGTCAGCAGTATTTAGCCACTAAGTCCAGATGCTTTTACTTTCCCTAATAAGAGTCAGGTATCCATCATAACTGGGCGGACACAGAAACATTATTTGGACCAGTGATACAAACTCGTGACTTTCAGGTCATTAGTTACTCTCTCCACCATCCGACCACACCATCTCACAACCTTTACACTTTTGAACTTTCTTACTTTTCTTCCCAAAAGCTGGAAGAGTGTAAAAAGGAGTTTGAGATACTGAAACAAGAGCACCAGAAGAGCCGGCTGTTCAACACCTCCATGCTGTCCCAGCTACTGGAGAAACAGGAGGAGATACAGGACAGCAACGAGCAGAACGAGCAGACATTTCTAATGACAAGCGGGGAGATGAGGTCAAAGGTCAGTTCATAGGGTCAACTCTTGTCCTGGTCTTATCAATTGAGCGGTTTAAAAATGGATGTAAATACTGTAGAAAAACTGAATGCCTGTTTTTTTTAACTTTATACCCTGAACTGCATTTTGTGGCTTTATGAATTTACACATTTAGGTTGCTGTGGCTGAAAGGTTAGATGGCTAAGCAACAAAACTCAAGCCCAGTTCCTGTGTTATAGCTGTAAGATTTTTAAAGAGCTCTAACATGAGCCTGACCCCAGTGGTGGACAATGCCTGACCCCAGTGGTGGACAATTCATCCAGTCACTGGGGAGGGGGGGTGGCTACTTGACCTAACTGGGTGTAACACTAACCACACAATCCCACACTAGGCCACAGTAGCACATGAACTCTATTTTATCTATTGTCTGGACTGTCCAATTAAAAATTTTACCAGATTTTCTTCTTCTACATCAGCCCTTATGGTCTGCTAGATCTGAAAGCCACAATTTTACTTTATAAAAGGTCTGATCAAAATTCATTGTTACTTTTCTTCATACATGTTAAGGTAAATAATGAAAAGTTATTCTTTTTAATTTATAGAGAACAGAGATTGGCATAATATTTATGGCCATAGACAACATATACGAGAAATGTAAAAAACCAACAGATCCACCCCTGGGGAAAGAGGACTGGGACCTAAAGTTAAACAAAATCAGGGTAGGTAAATCTTGTTCAAATGTTGCCACCTGCAGTTGTATCCTCTTAAAAGTAAATAGTATTTGTAAGCTTTTCATAGAGTGGGAAAATGTTAATTAAATGTTATCATTAAACATATCAGGATCATTTGTGCAAGTTAAATGACATAGTTAAACTTTAGAGAGAGATAAAGATGGTGTTACATATGTAAAATGTAATATTTAAACATTTCAGGACCATTTGAGAGAGAGGGAAGGTGTTGCGCAAGTTGTTTTAAGTGCCACGAGTTCAGTCTCAGGGAGTGGATCAGCTGACCATAGCAGGACAAGAGCCAAGTCAAACATCAGATTCTAAGTACCAGTTCAATTACGTTCATTTATGTAAATTATTTCTCTTTGTTATGAATTCCAGTACCCAGACGTGTATTGGTTTCGTTAGTTCATGCCAAATTTTTTTTATTGTGATGGTCATTGCTGAGATCAACATTTTAAAAAATTGCAGCAGGTTTAAGCTGAAATGTATTTATGATAACAATCTTGTTTAAGATATTTATGCCAAAAAATATTTGTATTTACTAATTAAAACCAAAGTAGAATTGGAAATGTCTCTGCTTTTAAAAATATTTTAATAGCTTTAGAGGTTAAAGGCCTCATTGTTCATTAGCTGTCTCGTATTTATGTAAATAAAATGTTAATTTCAACATTAAACAGATGAACATTATTTGCCCTAATCGCCTTTCAGGTGTGTTAGGGCATTAAATGTTTTCACATTATTTCTACTTGGTATTTTTAAATTTAAAAAGTAGATTCATGTTTACTGTTACAACTATGGATCTTTTGGTCCCACTTAACTTTCTTGTGCCTGAAATTATTCCCCTTTAAATACACCTTTTTTAATATGCACTATGTGAACAATAAATTATCAACTTACACACAAAGTATTGTAAAGCTAACGAGCCTGTTCAAGCAGGTTTGTGATTAAAGCATTAAACAATTTATTTTTAAAAAATGGCGCTGATTAACAAACTCATATATTATTGTAGTTTAATATTATTGTAATAATTTTGCATTTAAAATGCAGATAGAAGTTCTTGTATAAAATATTTTGTTGTACGTGTTGTTTAAAATTGTAAATGTAGATTGGGGTAAAAATGAATGAAACAAATCTGTAGATAGGATGTATGCTGTGAGTTAATGAGACTTTGCTTCAACAACTAAATCCATTTTAAATGTTACATTCTGCTTCAAATAAGATAACACTTGTAGTTTTTTTTTCCATCTGAAACTTATTTTATGGGTTTCTTTAGCTCATTATCTTCATCATCTATACTAAGATGCCAAGTTTCTTTATTTTTGAGCCTGTTATGTTCTGTTATTTCCATGCCTTCATGTATCATAAGCAACAAAAAATTTGTACTTTTTTTAAGCCTCATTTTATCACGATTATTTCACATTAGTTAAAGTCATCTTTTCATGATGTGAATAAACTTTAAACAAAAATTATATTCTTTTCAACGTCAGAAAGAAAGCAGAAATAAGTTTTCTGATTTGTTTGTGATTTAGGCTTTTGTGACATTATTTATCAGATGTGAACTATACATTTAGAGTTCTCACTCCAAACATCCAAAAGTGGCTTAGACAATGGTGAAATTATTGTGACAAATTTTATTTTACACAAATACAGAAATTGTTTTAGTACATAGTTTTTGAATTGTTGGATGCTCCCTGTTATATTGTGATACCTTGACTTTACCCGCTTGAATAAATTATCTCTGTACAACCTATTCTCGTACCCTGAGTTATTTTAAAGCCAAAAATTTAGAATTGTACTGTCATAACACCTTGTCCTGCACCAAATCACATTTTTTTCAGCTTACAAAATTGGCTTTCTGAAAACTGTCCATGCACCTCATCAACCTGACATGATCAACACACTCACCTGTCTGATCAACACAGCAACATCACACACTACAGAATCTGACAAGGGAAATAACAAACACAGCTGACAAGGGAAATAAACACAGCTGACAAGAGAAATAATAACAAACACAGCTGAAAAGGGAAATAACAAACACAGCTGACAAGAGAAATAACAAACACAGCTGACAAGAGAAATAATAACAAACACAGCTGAAAAGGGAAATAACAAACACAGCTGACAAGGGAAATAACAAACACAGCTGAAAAGGGAAATAACAAACACAGCTGAAAAGGGAAATAACAAACACAGCTGACAAGGGAAATAACACACAGCTGACAAGGGAAGTAACAAAGACAAAACCATCTTCAATACTTTTTACTTTTTGATCTCACAAGTCCACATGACTTGATGTATACAAGGCTGTAAATATTTTAGATCTAAATACACTATAAAAATGTTACAAAAAACATACCACTCCTGCAGATATTTTAGTATATTGATATAAAAAGATAATTATCCGGAAATTAAATATACAAATTGTGTAGAAAAATTAAGTTTTAAAATTCATTTCAGACAAGTTACTATAGTACGTTTGAAATATGAGCTAGTAAATGACATCAATGAATACGTTACATTTTTTGAACGAAGCCTAACCACAACCAGCAGTTATTAACATAATAACTTTTTGTAGGTCAAATAAATACACGGGGAGGGTTAGGGATAAAAAATGGAATAACAACCATTCATAAAGCAATAAATCTATACAAATTATTTGTAATAAATGAACATTTTATAAAAAAGTAATGATGTAAATAATCATGAAACAAATTTTGGCAAGTTTTAAATTGTGTATAATGATTTTTACTTCAGCACAACAGTTAATGTTTGTAGCTTTTTAATGTTGCTACACTAGGAAAAGTTAGTTATTCAACTCCGCCTAATAAACATATGTAAAATAAAAATGTGTTTCAAATAGTTTAGTTTTATTTTTTTTTAAAAATAATCACTAAATCATGTTATGAAAAATCTAAGATTAATTAAAATATCTGAAAACAAAGGGACTAAATAATTTACTAAAAGATAAAAAATTAATTAAAATAATTGACAAATATAAATTTAGATTTTGAATTAAATAAATAATAAGCCACTGCTTAACCATGTCTACTAGAACCGCACGGCCTAAAACAAAATCATGATCTTCAATGTACACAAAATATCGCTTTTAAAACAGTTCAATCAATCTGTAAAACAATGCCGAAAATATACATGAAAAACATGTTAAAAGAACCCAGTCACAAACACTTGTATAGGCTAATAAGGTAACATGACATTTTGTTCACAGTAAAGCTAAATCTAAACTATTCAACAGTCAAATCTAGGAGGTCATGGAAAGCTTATTAGTAGTTATTGCTTTATCAGTAAATAAAAAAATGCATAGCTCAACAATTTTAATCTCTACTTCAACATAATAATGCAATATAAATGCAAGGCTAATCCAAAAATTTCTAACTTATCAGTTATGTTAGCATAGTGATCAAACAGCATTGATAATAAATAGATTCCATGCTAGCTCTGCTACAACTGGTAGTGCTTTCTTTTTAGCCTTTTACTTTATAAAGACAATCATCAGGGTAGTTAACTTGCACAGAGACAGGGAGATATAAGGAAGAAAAACACCAGCTCTAGTGTTGGATTTGACATTTCATAAAAATATATACTGTAGCTATTGTTTATCAAGTTAAATTAATTTTTTTTATAGTTACATTAAATTTATAATAAAAATCCAAATAATGTTGATTAAGATAGAATTTGTTATATATTACTTGATACTCCTCAAATTTTAAGATAAAAAAAAATGAAGTCTCATTTTTGTCAACAATTGATTGTACAAATAAGAAATGATAAATAGAGCTTAAGTCAATAGATTAATACTTTTCTAAATACAATAAGTTTTACACATTAATTGATCAAATAAATCAGAAATGAGAAGAGTAAAAATCTTCTTCCCTCAATCACGCCTCCAACACTCAATTTTAAGCTAGTGTACACATTCGACTTTAAAAAAAAAACTTACCCACTCCAACAACCATTCATCACAAAATGTCTAGTCACTCACTACAACAATCATTTATCACAAAACGTCTAGTCACTCACTCCAACAACCATTCATCACAAAATGTCTAGTCACTCACTCCAACAATCATTCATCACAAAATGTCTAGTCACCCACTCCAACAATATTTCATCACAAAATGTCTAGTCACTCACTCCAACAATATTTCATCACAAAATGTCTAGTCACTCACTCCAACAATATTTCATCACAAAATGTCTAGTCACCCACTCCAACAAAATTTCATCACAAAATGTCTAGTCACTCACTCCAACAATCATTCATCACAAAATGTCTAGTCACTCACTCCAACAATATTTCATCACAAATTGTCTAGTCACTCACTCCAACAATCATTCATCACAAAATGTCTAGTCACTCCATCAATCATACACCACAAAATGTCTAGTCACTCCAACAATCATACACCACAAAATGTCTAGTCACTCCATCAATCATACACCACAAAATGTCTAGTCACTCCATCAATCATACACCACAAAATGTCTAGTCACTCCAACAATCATACACCACAAAATGTCTAGTCACTCCATCAATCATACACCACAAAATGTCTAGTCACTCCAACAATCATTCATCACAAATTGTCTAGTCACTCACTCCAACAATCATTCATCACAGATTGTCTAGTCACTCACTCCAACAATATTTCATCACAAAATGTCTAGTCACTCACTCCAACAATATTTCATCACAAAATGTCTAGTCACCCACTCCAACAATATTTCATCACAAAATGTCTAGTCACTCACTCCAACAATCATACATCACAAAATGTCTAGTCACTCACTCCAACAATCATCCATCACAAATTGTCTAGTCACTCACTCCAACAATATTTCATCACAAAATGTCTAGTCACTCCATCAATCATACACCACAAATTGTCTAGTCACTCACTCCAACAATATTTCATCACAAAATGTCTAGTCACTCCATCAATCATACACCACAAAATGTCTAGTCACTCCATCAATCATACACCACAAAATGTCTAGTCACTCCAACAATCATTCATCACAAAACATCTAGTCACTCACTCCAACAATCATTCATCACAAATTGTCTAGTCACTCCAACAATCATTCATCACAAAACATCTAGTCACTCACTCCCAACAATCATCCATCACAAAATGTCATGCCATCCATCGAGTGACATTTTATCATCACTATCACAGATTTGTTTGGTTACCCACAACTACAACAACATCACTGACACCAGCCACTATCAACATCACTGACAAATATATCAACATCACTAGCAACAATATCATCACTGACACCAACCAATATCAACATCAATGACTGACAAATTTCAGTAAGAAATAACAGAATCACTGACATCATCAAATATCAACATCACAACCAAACAACTTTGTTAACCAGTGATGATGTCAACCTTTAAGCTTGACAGTAAAGTATACATTACATAATAAATATTCATACCCTGCTTGCTTTATAACAAGAATTAACCATCTTTTATCAATGTTCTCAGAAAAATGTTTCTTTAACCTGCTACTAAATTATCAAAAAGTCATGTAATTATTAAAGCACTGTGGACGAATTAAAATACAAATTAAAAAAATGAAACAATTATTATTAAAATCTTATACTTAAAATTTGTGACCGAGGCAATGTTAGCCAATTTTTTAAAATTAAGTATTAGAATGGCATTTAGCCATAATAAATAATTGCAGTTTTCTTACTAGACAATTTATATGTTCCATTTAGTCTGGCCAGTTTTGCTACATGATCATATGTGTACGTTCTGCTAGAGTACTCTTAAAATTCACAAAATTATGCCTTTAATCAAGATAATTATTTCTTTTGAGTATTAAATACAATAATTGGCTAAATTGAATATCATTTTCTGTATAAATATTTTGTAATATAAGCTGTCAAAGCTTTCACAAATGTTAGTACCAACAAAACAAAACATTACAAGGGAGATAATCATACTTTGGTTTCAATGTTCTGTGTTAAAAGCAAGAGTTGTTGGGCCTGATTCTGTTGTCCAGACTGTTGTTGGAACTGCTGTTGTCCTGAAGGCTGTTGCTGATATTGCTGTTGTTGGTACGGCTGTTGTCCAGGTTGCTGTTGTTGATACTGCTGCTGTCCGGGTTGCTGTTGGTATTGCTGTTGCCCAGCCTGCTGCTGTTGAAATTGCTGTTGAGCTGGTTGTGCCTGTTGCTGATACTGTAGCTGAGACTGGTACTGTGTCTGCTGGTACGGTGTCTGTTGGTACTGAGGCTGCATGAACTGCTGCTGTGACTGGAGCTGCAGGATCTGATGCTGGACTAAAGATGGCTGATAAGGGAGGTTAGTGATGGCCAGGGGTTGCTGCCCCTGCCTTTCTTTTTTCCGCCTGTCGCTTTCTCGATTCAAAGCATTGCGGTAACGTTCATAGCTCATGACTATGTGCTCTAGATCCTGCTTGTATAGTCTGATCAGGAGGGCAGCAAAGTTTTCCAGCTGCTTCAAGGTGAACAACTCCCACTGGCAAAAAGAAAACAACCTTTTAGTAACTATTTATTTCCACTGAAAAAACAAACATTTTTCTCATGTTCTAAAAATAAATAAAAATAAAATGTAGACCCTTTATAAGACAGCTGTATGATTTGAACCAATATAAATTTTAAAAATTAAATAGGCAGATAAAACTTTTTTGTAATTGGAAAAAAAATGTCATTCAGTACAGAGAGGAATAAATTTACCTTTAGTTTGTGGTCATGCTCATGGGGTGCTTTGGAGAAAACTATCAGCCATTCAGGAATTTCTGAACGAAAAAAAAAAAAAAAAATTAGACTTAAAACTTCTTTATCCTTTATAAAAATTTACATCAGATATCGAATTAACAAGTGAATCATAAAATACAAAATAAGAATAAAACAAATAATTCCAAAATAACTTGGTCTCTAGTGAGTTCTATTATTTTAAACCTAATGTATCACAGTTGGGTAAGAAAATGCTGGTTAGGGCATGGACTGGCCATTAACATGATAAAACTGATGCTAAAATAGTTAAATACTATAAAAATACTATTCATATTTGTTATACAAAAACAAAACTGACAAAAACATGACCAGACACATCTGATATTTGTGATATTGAAAATACAAATACCTGTATTGAGATAAGGATTAGCAGGAACCAACTGTTTGTTCTGTCTGAACTCTAAATGGGGTGGTATCCGATCAGGTATGACATTCATACCATAACTTAGGACCATCCCCTGGACGGGACTACATGGATGTTGATATTGAGCTGTACGTGTTATATGGCTGAAAGAGAGAGCGAGTAGTTGAAATGTACGTACAGTTCTTTTGCTTTAGCAAAAAAAATTGCAAGCAGACATAAATAATAATGTTTTTGATAAATTTAGTTAAAAGGGAACAAAACTAATGAATGTTTTTAATATCACATCTGATCATACAAAAGTTATATTTTGAGTTTGAGCCAAGTATTATTTCCACATGGGGATGGCATGGTCAAATGGTAGAGCTTTAGACTGCTAACCTAAAAGTCTCGAGTTCGGATCCAGGGCTTGTCTAAAGGATGTCTCTGAGTTCACCCAGCTCTGATGGGTGCCAAACTCATATTAGGGAAACAAAGACATCTGAACTCTACTTCATCTTCCTAATGTGTCTTGGGCATAAACAGGAAAAAGTGATGATCATTTCTATACTTAGAAGGACGGCAAGACTTTAACAAGAGTTAGAAAATGACAGCGTTCTCACGGATCAGAAGCTGTGCATTATTTTGCTCACTTGTAATAGTAGACTCCCCTTTCCTTAGATTCAATCCTCTCCCAATCTGTCGGCAGCGCTTCTTTCTCTAGTGGGTGGCTCCAGTGGGTGGCCTGGGTGTTGTGGTCAATGTAGTACTTGCGACCACGCACTGTCCAGTCCACTGACCAGCCAGGTGGCAGGGGCAGGTCTTCTTGTGATACACAGCTCCCCACTCCTGGGAGATTCAGCACATTTTAAAAATTTCAACTTTTATGTAAGGATTTCAACATCAAAGAATACATTTAAAAAATGTATTTTGGAGAAAAAAAAATCTAAATATTGTAGACAGCTGCAAGTTGAGTTACTGATAAAAAAACCCAATAACAAACAAATTGTTTACTCAAATTATTTACAGTTTTTAACAAAACTGATTATTATTGCCAGATGTTTAGTGAAAACTAATTGAGGGTCTAAAAACAAGTTTTCTGACTGTATAAGATTGTGCTTGTAAAGAAGAACATAGTACACATAAAAATAATCTAACTCAAATCAGTAGTTTGATATAACCAGTTGCACCTTTTAACTGTATAAATCAGAAAGAAAGCATAACTATTCCTAGTCTGTAAGTAAAGCATACCAGATGAATTGACTGAAGATGCAGAGGGGGTTTTCAAGTCAACCAAGTCACTAGCAGCCATGCCAAACATTCCCTTCCCAAGAAGATTTCCCCCTGGGTTCTGCTGGGCGTAGTGGCTGCGTATCTCTTGGTGGTACAGAGCAATCTGGTAGTTCTCATCTAGCTGCTGTAGGTTGTAGTAGTCTGCGCTGTTGTTGCTGGTGGTACTGCTGCCGCCAGTGTATTTGTAGTAAGGCTGAGAATCAACGTCGTCTGGGGAATGAGTGATTTAAAACAGGAAAACAGGCTAAATGACAATAGAATGCCATGTGAACAAAGCAAATTTTTGCCATATGAGCTGTAAAACTAATTACATATTATATATAATCCCAGGTCATGGTAAGGATAATACCATTCATATAAAATAAATAGTTAAATACACTACTATAAACTAGATGCTCTTTTAAAGTTGGCTACAGTACACATTTCATAAATGGAATTTACAAAGTGATAAAAGGACTTTCTACTTTCTTCTATAGGTAGTCCAACTAGGTATCAAATATTTATTTTGCATAGTCATATTAAAAAAATTAATACAAGAGAATCAGTACAGTATTATTTGAATGACTGTTCTTAATATATCAATATTTGGTCTTAGGCCACCAAAATAATATTTTCTAGTTACCAGTTACAGAGATCAAAGAGAAATATTAACATGTAAAAAAATTATCAGTAGCCACTACCTTCCCTGATGACACTGAGTGCAGTCATTCCTCCGCGCTCCTCCTGACCAGCAGAACTTGAGGGGGGCATCTGTGACTGGGGGTCGGAACTGTGGCTGGCATACCCTGGCTGAGATACATTCAACATGTGACGTGACACACCCGAAGCTATGCCACTGACAGGCTGTGAGTACACCACACCATACGGCCGCTGCACGGTGGAGGTAACATCCGTCCTTGACACTGGGGATGAGGTGACCCTAAAGTTTTGAAAGCCCTGGGTGAGGTGGGTGATGGAGGAAGAGACTGGCGCCGCCGGGGTGAAGTGGTGTTGCTGAGGCTGTTGGTGGAGGTGGCTGGCAGGGTGTTGCTGCAGCGCAGACTGGTCGTAGAACTGTGTGGCTGGGGTCAAGGCTGTAGTCTGGTGCACAAGGGGAGAATACTTCGCCGCTTGTTGCACAGGCTGGGGCTGGTTGCCTACGTAATATTTGTCTAAGTCCCCAAATAAAGAGGTGTTGGTTTCATTCATCTGAATGCCCTGGACGTTAGGCCGTGGCGCCACTTGAGGTTGACCGGGGACACTTTGTGTCTGGGCCTGAGGAATGTAGGATGCAGGTGTTCTTGCTGTGCGCCCCATTCTTTGAAATGATGTCCCTTGCCTCACAGGTGTGTGATAATCTGGTTTTGATAACACAAATATTGAAACAATAATAATCAGTACAAAAAAATGACATGCAATAAGTAGGTTGTTGCAAACTAGGTGAAATATTCTTTTAATCAGAAGGCTAGTCTTTAATAATAATTTAAGATTTTACTTCTGAGAAGTGGAGGAGTATCCCTCTTGACATAACGTCCAGCAATTCCTTCATTGAGACCAGATTCTTTTTTCTTAGCTAACCTTCTCTTGTCCATCTTCAAACTTGGCAGCTACATCTACTAGAAAATATCATTTTCAAAATTATGTTTTATAATTTTAAGACAGAAAATAAACAGCCGTACTAATTTAGACTTTCAGCACTATTGGATTATTACAAAGTAATAACCTAATCAATAGGTTGCTTGGAACAACACTTTCATACTAAACTAGGCAATCAGTTTCAAGCGGGAAAACATTCTGTCAGCTGCAATGCGCAACACAAATCAACTACGCCCACTCAGCTCCCTATGGGGGGGGGGGGGGGGGGGGGGTAGTGGTTTAGACATTATTGCATGTTGTCAGCTGTCAACCAAAACTAATTCAACTAAATGTATAGTAGTAGGCCTAATAATTGTATAGACCAGTATATTTAGTCTAATAGTATAGGCCTACCAGAAAAATAAATAAGCTACTTTGGTGACCTTGTTGTGATATATTTTTGAATAAACACTTTTAGTTAAATGCTGTGCTTGAAATTTACAACTGAAAATCTAAACTAGACTTTAGAATCCTAGAATCAAGATTTAGAATTCAGGCTAGTGATAGACAATGATTTAATCTACTCTTTTACTATAATTAAATAACTCTAAATTGTAGGAAGTAGATTCTAGATGAATCAACATTTTTTAGACTAGGCCAACATAATTTACATATTACTACATAATTTAATAATTGACTTAATTATTATAATTAGCCTACTTAAGTCTAGATCTCAACAATTAGGCCGACCAAATATCAAATACATTGGGATGATTGTGAGTGAAGTCATTCATTAGTGCTAGATTTCTAAAAATAATAAAATATTTTAATAGCCTACTGAGCACACTGCTACTTCACTTCTTCTTTTCTTAGGCCTAACCTGCCTAACAGTACAGTACTACAGTGACTTAACTTACTATAGTAGAAATAAAGGTAAAACCTTAGTTTAGCGTCGGTTATTATTCCGGAATCGTATAGCAGTAAAAAACAGTAAAACAATGCCAAAGTCTGTCACACACTTCCGGAATTCACCGGAAGTACTGTAAACGATACTTTATTTGGCGTCATCTTTTATTTTTATACAGAATGTTTAAAATTTGGATAGATTTATTTTTGTAATCATTTTTACATTTTGTAATCATTTTTACTATTTTCGTAATCTAGATTTTTTTACTTGGCCTAGCAGCTGAATATCTAGCTAGATCTAGAGAATTAATTAATGGTCGCAAATCCGCTGCAAGCCAAAAACATTAAATTATTACATTTGACTTCATTATTTATATTTATATTAATATATGTGTTTTTTTTTTTATTTTTAGATCTACTAATTTAAATCTACTATTATATTTATTCTTGTTTCCTTTTGTCTATTAAACTTAAAAAATTAAAACATTAATTTACTACAATCGACTTTCAATTTATTTATATTTCAATGGTCAAATAAACCATGGTTTACCGTAACTCTAGTTACCGAAACTCAACAAACGTTACCCGATAATTTCCGACGCTAAACTAAGGTTTTACCGAAATAAACAACTAGGCCTAGGCTAACTAATAACTAACTTTGAACTTAACTAAGTAGGCCCTAGTTAGTTAGTCACTATTCCAGATTAGATTAGATTTCTTCTCTTTTATAACTTTGACTTTATGATAAAGTTAGGCTATTCAATGACTTCAACCATCATCATTCTCATTCTGTCAATCTTCTCATCACAAATCTACTTTTCTTAGTAAGAATCTTACCAAATTATTTTCAATCTTTAAAAAAAATAGACATTCATAAAAATAATGTCGATTCTCCATCTGTTTTTGAATGTGACAGCATTACATTTCCTGGATATGACTAGACTATTAGAGTTAATTACTAATTAATAATTAGACCATATATCTAGAAATCTAGGATGGTATTGGTGAGCATTTCATTCAATCCTCGGTCAAGTTGCTTTTTCTTAAACTTGTAGACATCTAAATTTAGTTCTCTAGTTTTTAAAGTTTAAGTTTTTAGATTACTCGACAGGATATGATGTGATTTCCGAAGTGGGTACTCCCTCCGTTTGGAAATGAGATTTAGCAGTATTATTTACATCGACTCCTAGCAACAGCTCCAAGGAGACAGACGCCATTTGTGGACCTCCGGTCGGTTTTTAGTGTATGTAGCATCTCGTCGATGTTTTGTGCATAGTAGGGGTTCTTCAACATTTTGTAAAAGGATCCAGGGAAAATAAAATAAAAATGTCGGACAATGAAATAGATTCGACAACCGTGTTAAATGAACTCACAAAAGAGCGAGAGTTTCAAAAAGCGAAAGCTTTTCTTCTCACTGCGAGTACTTGTACAGGGATGAATGTGTAAGTAAAAAAAAAAGCACTAGCATAATTAGGCCTATATTAATTATTATTTCATTAAATTTGAATACTTTACTTGTGCTTACATGAGTAATGCAATAACTAAATTATGTAATAACGTAGGTTATTTAAAACTAGACTACTACTACTATTCTTTTAAATATCATGTCAAGTAAATACAAATAGTAAATAACTAAATATCTTAGACTTAAGTTAAATGTTTTTATAGCTCTAACTAAAATCTTTTACCATGTTTAATTTCATAATTTGTAGTTAGAAGTCTAAACTTTCTAAAGTCTAATTTATAAATAATTAAATATGAGAAAGCTAATCAAGTAATTACAGTTATCAGATTTAGACTACACTCCTACTGTCAGATGTAGTAGAACAGTAGTAAAGCTCACATAATAAGATTAAATTCCAAATATGGTATTTTTATGCTTTAAACTTCTAAAACCTTAATTTTTAAAATGTTAGGCCTAGTTTTCATAATAAATACATGCAGTTTTCACATTTTAAATGATATTATAGTAGCAAGACTATAATGAACCATGCATTTATTTATAATTTCAGTTATGATCATTTGTCCCGAGTACTGGGTAAAATTCTAGATGAGAAACCAGATAACTGTGTGGACATTTTTGAAGACATAAGCAAAGATGCAAAGAGAACAAAGTTTACATCAGATGTGGACACAATCCAGGACAAAGTTGACAGGTCCACTCAAGTAGCTCTTGCTCAAGTTCAGAGGAAGTTATTTACAGTGAGTAGACACTTTGTTTCAGAACAAAATAATTTGAGCAGCCCTTAAATATTTGACTAATTCTCTAGCCAGCCCTCACTGACTTTTGTTAAACAGAAATTAACCTTGTTAAACAGAAATTAACCGGATGATGTCCCACACATGAATCTATCAGATTTTTAAAAAGTATTTTTTCCTATCATGTACTATAACAGAAATCTTGTATTTTAACATAAAGAATTGCTACTTATTCATTGTAGCACCAATCATGATAAACAAACATTAAGGTTGGAGTTGATTGTAAAATTTCAGATCAATATTTCTATGATTTAAAGTTTGTAACAAATGTAGAGTTTTAACAAAATTAACAAAATTAAAAACTGAGTATAATTTAAATTAATTTTTCTATCTCTAAGATAAAAACATTTTAAAATTTCAGAAACAAGGTGAAGATGGGGAGGAAGAGGTACCTCAGGATGAGGAGGTTGAAACTCCTCTGCCCAATTTAATGGAGCTTTGCTTCTTCTTCGAGCAAGCGGGCATTGGTTTAAACCGTGAAGAAATCGTTCGGGTGTGGTTGGCCATGAAAAATCTTGTAGATAACCATCCTTTACAGCATGTTAGATTTTGGGGAAAAATATTTGGAACTGAACAGAATTATTACATAGCAGAGGTAGAATATAGAGAAGGTGATGAAGAGGAAGAAGATGAAGATGAGGTAGGTTATTAATTAGTCTTAGAAAATAATGACCATTTCAGATACTTATACAGCTACAAATATGAATTTTGGCATTTATTTGTAATAATGTTGATGCAACTTATTTCAGCAAGAAGAAAAAGAAGAAGAGAAAACTGAAAAAGAAGCAGGAGATGAAGAAGCTGAAGAAGGTAAATTTGTTTTTGATGTCTTTGTTGCAAAGCAAAATCCTTTTATGTTTGTTCTTAAAAGGATGAACTAGACACAAGTTAGAAAGCTTAATGATGATAAATTGTTTCAGATGTGAACATTTCTTTTTTCATGAACACATTTTATTTCTATAGAGGAAGTAGAGGAGGATGATACCCCCAAGCCTGATTTTAAACCTCCACCCGTTGTCCCCAAAGAAGAAAACAGAACCGGAGTAAACAAAAAAACATATTTCGTCTGCAATGATCGTAAGTAATCACTTGATTGCTTCCCTGTTATTTCATGAACAATTTAATAAAAAGAATATTTTTTGCACAAATTAAAGTTTTGATTTAACCGCTGCTGTCACACAAAAAATAACCCAACCATTTCTTCACCAGCTGGAAAACCGTGGGTCAAGCTGCCCCATGCCCAACCAAATCAGATTACACTGTCCAGACAAATCAAGAAATACTTTACAGGAAGGTTGGATGCTGCAGTAAGTGTTAGGGTCACATCTACTGATGTCTGGAAACCATAGCTTATCTTAAATCACAATTGATAATGATTATTTATTATTATTGAGTAATATAGATGTAACATTGAAAATATTGCCGTGTTAATTGCTAATAATTACAGAAAAAAAATTCAATTTAAAATACTACTAATTGATCAGGTAGTGAGTTATCCCCCATTCCCTGGCAACGAGGCCAACTATCTGAGGGCCCAGATCGCCAGGATCAGTGCTGGAACACACATCTCCCCATTGGGATTCTACCAGTTCGATGAGGAGGAGGAAGAGGAGGAGGAAGGAGAAGGTTTGTTTGGCTACTATAAATAGCACAATCCTGATTCACTTAGGTTTGAATCAACTCAAAATTGACTCATTTGGGGATGATTATTTCAGCCGGACGTGACCATTTTGTAGAAAATATTGATTTTGAAGGCATTCCAATTAGAGAGCTTGCAGATCCTTCACTCAGCAACTGGGTGCACCACGTTCAGCACATTTTACCACAGGTGAGAAAAAAACCATTTAAAACAACTCAACAAATGCATTCTTTAAACATACTAACCATTGTAATGTTAGAAGCAAAGTATTATGTGAAATATAAGATTTGAATGTTTATTCAGAATTCAATTTTGTATCGTGAAAATATTTTTTATTGAACTTATGGATCATTTGTGTAGTGATATTTCATGACTTTTAATATTAAGTAACCAAAAAGTATATAGAGAGCTAGCATATCAACATTGAAAGTTGGCATAATATTTTTTATTTAAAGTAACCTACTGGATCAATGTTGTAAAATACACTGATCTGAAAAAACTTTTAGGGTTGATGCTCCTATCAATGTTGTAGAAAATATACTGATCTGTAAAAAATGTTTAGGGTCGATGCTCCTGGTGGAACCCAGTTCAAAAGAACGAAGAAGATTTTGAAGATGAAGAAGAGGAGGAGGAGAGAGAGGAGCCCGATGAACCAGAACCAGAGGTCGGGCCTCCTCTCCTGACCCCCTTAGCAGAAGACGAGGAGGTGGGAGGCATGCCAGCCTGGACTCCAGCCCTCTCCTCCACATTGATACCCCAGTTTGCTATTGCTGTCATGCACTCAAATCTCTGGCCAGGTGCCCATGCTTTTGCCATAGACAAGTGAGTTCAATTCACATCTTACATGGGGACCATTTGGGGATAACAACCCTGCAGTGGGTTTTTTTAGGGGGGAGGGGGAGGGGAGGTTGTAGATTTATTAATATAAATATTAGAAGGTGAGGGTCTTGATATCTAGATATGTATAATTATATAATTGTCCCAGCTATATAAAAATATATATATATACAAGTTATAGGACATACCATTTTATATACAGTATTATTTGAATTACAAAAGCAATTTGACATGAAGAATTAATTTAAAAAAAAACAACATTTTTTCATACATTTTCCCCACATAACAACATTTCCCAACACCTGTAGATCAGCTTATGATAAAATAGACATAGTCAAATCTCCTATTCCTTCAAACTTTGATTATTATGTGCAAAAATTGATGATTTCCACAGGAAATTTGAGAATATTTACATTGGTCATGGCCACAAGTACAAACCTGACAACTACACCCCACCACACCCTCCACCCATTCAGGAGGAGTTCCCAAGTGGGCCAGAGATCACGGAGGCTGAGGACCCAACCCCAGAGGAGGAGGCGGCCCTCAGAGCTGCGCAGCAGGAGGCGGCTGAAGCTGCGGAGGAGATGGAGGAGGCAGAAGAGGATGATGATGAGGACGATTAGATTATTTCTTGATGAAGGGAGGATTTGCTCTACGTATCCAAACATATTAAGCATGAAAAACTTTTTCGAGCATTGTGACATTATGTGCTGGTAACAACATACAAAAATGACACATTTGGATAATGTTTTCTCTATCTGCATAATGATAATGCTAAAGGTCACTTTACTGTTTGTTGCCTGTGATGGAAGGTCTAGAGCAAGCCACGTCATTTTTAGTTGAATTTTCTATCTGTCTTACATCTTCATCTTCTTCTCTTTCTTCCTTCTTTTCTTACACTGACTTGAAGATACTTATGACAAATTTATTGAAAAGTATGTTCGAATTATTAACCAGAAACATGCTATACTCCCTCACAAAATGTCGTGTGATAGTTTGTTTAAATTTTAAAAAATTCTGTAAACATTTTTTTAAAGGAGAGATAAGGTTTGCTAATAATTCTCTTTTATTGGCTAATGTATTATTTTACACACATTTTATTGATTTGCCATTTGTGAAAACATTTACATGCATACAAATTTATAACATTTAGAATTGAGTATTATTTTGATATTGTTTTAATACTTTAAAGTATCCATTTATATTAATGAGCCTATTCCTTAAGTATGAAAATGAAACAGCACACTAAAAAAATAAAATTCAAACATTACTACAACAAAGTGATCATTTACAATTTGAACTCATAAACTTATTTTTATAGTTATTTCTTCCATGTTTACAGCAACACCTCACACACCCAACAAAATGTGTACGTCAATTAAGGGCTCATTAAAATAGTTTGCTAATTATGAGATAATTATGAGAACACAGTTTCATAGTGATGACTGTATGCAAGATGGGTTCCTGATGTGTTGAGTGACTGAATATTTGGATCTTGTTTACACTATGAAATAGTTTTGTGATATGTATATATTAAAAACAAAGATCAATTTATGAAAGGATACTGTTTGTTTGATCATTATTTACTGTTTTGTTACATTTAGTATTTTCAATGAATTAACCTTATTTTGACAATTATCTAAAAAGAAAATCAAATTTTAAAAAAATCGAGTAAAAATTATTTTAATAAACCAAGCCATCAAATCAAGTTTTAAAAATTAGGAAACAGTGTTTCTTTCAGACTTTTTTCTCCGGGGGGGGGGGGGGGGGCCACTTCAATTTTCGGGGGGGGCGGTAAACTTTCTTTGGGGGGGCGGACACTGTTAAAAGTATATATTTTCTATATAAATTATATAAATTTTATTCCGTTCGGGGGGGGGGGGGGGGGGGGGGTGGAGGGCGGTAAATTTTTTTCGGGGGGCTTTGCCCCCCCCCCCCCGGAGAGATGCCTGGAAGAAACTCTGCTAGGAAAGCAATGTATTGATTATATTGATTAATTAAAATAATTAAGTCTCCTTTTAATATTATTTCTACACTTGGAATAATTTTTTTATGGGGGGCGGGTTAAATACGTATTTAAATGTATATAAATAAAAACTACATAAATATATATCATATATACACATATAGGCTATATACATAAACACACATACACACAAAACATACACATAAATTTTACGGTTTGCACTATTTTTTTAAAATTACAGATCAAGGGAAGTAATAATAAGAGCAAAAACATTTTTCTAAGTTGTCATTCTTAGATTATCTAGAGACATTTTTACAAAAACTGAAAAGAAAAAAAAAAAATTAAAATATTTCAGGCGGATTCTTTGACCAAGATTTTTGTGATAATGGGTGGTCCATAAATAACGCCACACTCGAGGGGGAGGGGGTCCGTAATTTTTGTGACGGAGTGTGATAAGGGAATGGGTTTAGATGATGTGACGTCATACTTTTGCATTATAAAAAAATCAGTGTTAAAAAACTAATTTTAGACGTTATTTCGCGCTTTAGAAAAATGTTTTAGTAAATTGTAATAGGAATTGATTAAAATACTCTGTTAACAGAATACAGACAAGATTATGATAAAATATCGTACTTTAAGAAAAAAATTTAACTGCAATTTTGACGGGGGGGGGGGGGGGGGTTGTAGGTTGAGGTGTGACGTCATTTTAGGGGGTCGGTCTGGCTTTTTGTGACCATGTATGACGGAAGGGAGGGGGGCGGGGAGGTAAAAATCGTCATGAAAAGCGTGACGTCATTTATGGGTGATCCCTAACGATTGGGGGGGGGGGGTTGAGAGGGTCGGGAGTGGAGAACTAACCATCAAGTCTTACATCTTTCTCAAAGTCATTGCGTCGACTCACGTTTTTAGAATGTAATTGTTTATTTATTAAGGACCTGCAAATTTTAGTGTCGATTCCCATGTTACTGTTCTATTGTTCAAGTGTTACTGTTATATTATTATTAGCTGTCTATTATTATTAGCGTAATAAAGACATCTAGACATAATATAGACACCATTTGCAAATAATATAGAAATAAATGGGCGCTGATCGTTCATTAAACTGTAAGATCTTTTTATAACCTCTAAGATCAATGTCTAGAATCTTGCATTAGGTCGTAAAAAGTCATGTGACCTAGCTAAAGACCTAATAGCTAGCTGAACCTGTGTCTCATAATACAAACTGTCATCTCAACAGTCACCTGAAGATAGAATTTGTGTAGAAAATAGTAGAAATGTAAACACAAAATATAACTAGAAAAAAAAGAAAGAAAGAAAAATAAACAGAAAATAGCAAAATAGAAAATAGATTTATAACTAGAAAATAGAAGTTAGAAAAAACGCAATAGATGAGACAATATAAATATAAAAGGAAGAAGAAAATGGAAATTGGAAAATGTGAAATGGAAAAAAGTTCAATTTGTAAAACCCAGTCTAATGGTACCATTTGTAAAACCCAGTCTAATACCATTTGTAAACCTAGTCTAATACCATTTGTAAACCTAGTCTAATGGTACCATTTGTAAACCTAGTCTAATACCATTTGTAAAACCTAGTCTAATGGTACCATTTGTAAACCTAGTCTAATGCTACCATTTTGTAAAACCTAGTCTAATGGTACCATTTGTAAAACCTAGTCTAATACCATTTGTAAAACCTAGTCTAATGCTACCATTTGTAAACCTAGTCTAATACCTTTTGTAAAACCTAGTCTAATGCTACCATTTGTAAAACCTAGTCTAATACCTTTTGTAAAACCTAGTCTAATGCTACCATTTGTAAAACCTAGTCTAATACCATTTGTAAAACCTAGTCTAATGGTACCATTTGTAAACCTAGTCTACCTTTTGTAAAACCTAGTCTAATACCATTTGTAAAACCTAGTCTAATGGTACCATTTGTAAACCTATTCTAATGCTACCTTTTGTAAAACCTAGTCTAATGCTACCATTTGTAAAACCTAGTCTAATACCATTTGTAAAACCTAGTCTAATGGTACCATTTGTAAACCTAGTCTAATACCATTTGTAAAACCTAGTCTAATACCATTTGTAAAACCTAGTCTAATGCTACCATTTGTAAAACCTAGTCTAATACCTTTTGTAAAACCTATTCTAATGCTACCATTTGTAAAACCTAGTCTAATGCTACCATTTGTAAAACCTAGTCTAATACCTTTTGTAAAACCTATTCTAATGCTACCATTTGTAAAACCTAGTCTAATACCATTTGTAAAACCTAGTCTGATGGTACCATTTGTAAAACCTAGTCTAATACCATTTGTAAAACCTAGTCTAATACCTTTTGTAAAACCTAGTCTAATACCATTTGTAAACCTATTCTAATGCTACCTTTTGTAAAACCTAGTCTAATAATTTTTGTAAAACCTAGTGTAATGGTACCATTTGTAAAACCTAGTCTAATGCTACCTTTTGTAAAACCTAGTGTAATGGTACCATTTGTAAACCTAGTCTAATGGTACCATTTGTAAAACCTAGTCTAATGCTACCTTTTGTAAAACCTAGTCTACCTCAAACCACCTGGGCCATTATCTTAGATATTTACATTACCCCATTAATCGCACTATTAAACGTACCCCAGTAATTGTACTATTAACCGTACCCCACAGATGTACCCGGTTTCCCTGCAGGGAGTCACGTGCCGAGTAAAGCGCGAGCTGTCTTACTATACCCCTATAAAACTTCCACCCCCCCCCCCCCCCCCAGCTCAACTGAAGCTGGAACCGTAGAACGCCCAGAAGAAAACCCACCTCACCCGATAAGCGCATGTCTTTTATTATCACCGACGGGTTCCATTTCACCTTCTTCTATTTCTGTTCACTCAGATTTTTGCGCCCCCCCCCCCCTCCCTTACCCCCATCTTGACATGAACTAAAGAAAAGTTTTACTTCTGCATAAAAAAAAAAACACACCCCGTAATAAAACATTCCAGAAATATACGCCCCCAATCAATAAAGATAGCTTGCCAACTACCTAAGCAAGACAGATAACCTATACAAGTATAAATAGCAGTAGCCTCCCCTTGTGTTTCCTGACGGCTAGGACAGTGCACCCAGCCTCCCGCTAACAAAACTCATGTTGTTTCACAACTCGACTTTTGATGTCAATAAAGCAGATAGCTGTATATAAATAGCCGTCTTTAACCAACCCAACATGGAAGGTGAACTCGCGATTGTTGTTTTCTATAAAAGATTTCTCTCCCTTTCTTTTCATCCATTCGCTAAACAAAACAAAAGCTTTGTTCCGGAAAAAATAAATGTAAAGTTTATATTTTTATAAAACTTTTACTTCTTCTAGCGGACTGGTTGTTTGCATATTTGATGTATTTAGCCAGATCATGTGGAAACTGTACATGTACACATAAAACAGGTGTTGGCGTATCTTCTGCTGTCCAGGTGGTTGTTTTGTTATACTTGTTTGAAGTCGTCTGGTATCGACTTTGTTGAAAACTGGCAGTAAAAATAAATAAATCAAAATTTAGGGATGTTTTTATAGAACCATTCTTACATTCCTCACTTCTCTGATGTCTAACTGTGCTATAAAAATATAACGATCTACCCCCCCCCCCTTCCATTGAAGCAGCCACAGATAAGTCAATAGATCGTATACAAAGGTCTTCTGACAAAAATCCTTCGCCCCCATCTCTATACAGCAAGTACGGCATTAAAAGTCTGCTTTCAAGTATAAAAAAAAGTCAACTACATTATTGAACGGATAATTGTTACATTAATTTGGATATTTTTTTGTACATGTGCATTCAGGTCTTGAAACGTTAGCAGAATTGAGTATTAAAGTTTAGGTCTAATTAACAAGCAGAACTGAATATTAAAGTTTAGGCCTAATAACAAGCAGAACTGAATATTAAAGTTTAGACCTAATTAACACACACTATTTTGAAAGGGTAAATAATAGTGGTAAGTTTTTAAAAACTTGAAACCAATTTAATTTTGGACGTCCCTGATCCCCCCCCCCCCCCCCTTTCCCCCTATAACCCGCCTATGTCACATAATAATATACATAAACATTATTACTAAATAAAACAACACTATCTTGTATCATAATACAAGTAAAAATGTAATAAAATCCAAACATGACGCACACAGACGTGTTAAAAATTTAAAATCTTCTAAAAGCATCGGCCGTAAAAAGCTAAAATAAGGTGAACATTAGCCAGATTTCAGACACAATATCTGCCGAATATTAAATAATTTGAAAGTAATTCATCCTACAGTACTACCCCAGACATCTGGTTTGTATCAAATTTCTTGAATAAATCAAAACAAACTGAAAGTTTGGGAAACTTGAATCGGTAAGTTTTAGATTTTATTGTTTCAACTCTGGAAATAATTTAAATCGACGGTTTTAAGTAGTCACATATCTAATGTACACTCAGAAGTTTTTTTTGTTTTTATAGATCGCTAAAAGTATTATTCTATCCGATTTATAAAAAATGTTCTAGATCTTTTGTAATTTTATTAATTAAATATTTCGTGCGATTGGGCAATGAAAAATCTGCATAAAAACTAAATGAAACA